CTATTTGATCATCTGGGTGTGTAAGATCCACTGCTCTCCTTCCAGATACCACCTCTAACACCACAATCCCAAAGCTAAAAACATCAGATTTTGCGGTAGCAACACCCCTCTTCTGAAAACTCTCAGGAGGCAAGTACCCAATTGTTCCTCCAATTCTAGTTGATTCAGCCAAACGAAACTGATGATTTTTTATTGATGGTGTCCTGATTTGATACTCCAATTCATGTTCTAACCATCTTGCCAAGCCAAAGTCACCAAGCCGGGCATTATATTGGGAATCAAGCATGACGTTGCTTGTCTTAACATCACGGTGTATGATCTGTGTTTCTAGTTGTTCATGGAGATAAAACAGTGCAGCTGCTAACCCACCAACTATTTTCCTCCGCCGCTCCCAATCCAGAGGACACGGACCCGGACCCGGACCTGGACCCAGATTTTCAGACTTGCGAAACAGGACTCTGTCAAGACTCCGGTTAGGCATGTAGTCATAAACTAGAAGCAACTGATCTTCATGCACGCACCACCCTCTTAACCGGACAAGATTACGGTGACGGAGATGAGCCACCGCCACCAGCTCAGCCGCAAAAGTTTTCTCGAACCTCTCCCCTTTCTCCGCCAAGCATTTGACTGCTACAACAGTGCCGTCACTAGGCAAAACAGCTCGATACACTTTTCCAAATCCTCCACTGCCAAGAACTTCCTCTTGGCTAAACCCATTAGAGCCTATATAAAGCTCTGTATAGCTAAAAATCCTGGGATTCTCCCCACCAACCTTCTCCAACATTTGAATTCCTTCAAGATCATGAAACACAGTAGAACCCGTTTGGTGTTTTCCCGGCGTTTTTTCATCCTGACAGAAACTTACCCATTTGGATTTCAACAACCTACGTAAAGAATCACCAAGAAAATCAAGAACCCGGCCCCCGCAATCCCTCGGGTGTTTTTTCGAGTTATTTATTATTTTCTCCTCCCCACCATCAACTTGCTGGACTTCATCGGGGTCCGCCGGTAAGATGAAACAGAGACGGTTGAGTTGCATATCGAAGGTGAAGAAGGGTTATGAGGATGGGGATGAATGAATGAAGGAAGAGAAAGTTGGTATTTATGTAGAAAGAAGAAGTAGGGTTTAAATTCAACAATGGTAGGTTGCATGGTTGAATTGTATGTGATAGACTGGCCAACAAGGAACCTAACCCCAATTTTGGCGCTGACTGCATCATCCCCAGGATAGAAGATTTGTATTCGGAAGGTTTTCATCTTTGTTTTTTGTTTTTTTCTTTTATCCAAATTTCTTCTCGAACAAATACACTTCAACAGTGATTTTCCTAGTTCACATCAGGAATCAATCATCCCTCTGGGGCGCGTGGTTTCACGTGATTCAAATTTAAGATTATTTTTCTTCTTCAAGTTTGAATTTTAAAAATTTGCTGCGGGGTCAAACTGGTCAACTACAGTTCTCCTCGCCTCCCTGCAAACAACGAACGGAGTAGTGCCAAGTTGCTGCTAGTTTTTCACCTGCACCAACAAGATGACAATGCTGATTTACCCATACGAGAATGTGGTCTTGGTTTTGTATGGCGGTAATGTTAGGCTCCATGGTCGTGTTATATAACTTCGATTATTAAAATCAGTAATTACTATTTCTTCATGATGGCGTGCATCACTTCGATCGTGACTCTTCATGTTAATTTTAAGTATTGGTATTGGAGGGGTATAAATTAAATTTTAATGTTTACCATTTATTGATAAACTAAAGTAAAAGACATGGCCACCCAAGTTGATGAAAAACTACGACATGATTTGTCCTATCAAATTGGATTAGCTTGACATTTAAACAATATTCAAATAACATTGTTGGGAGGTTGGACTTAAATTCAAAGAATTTAAAGAAAAAAGAGTTATTAATTGAGTAATCACTTTCTACTTGATGTATTAAAAGTGGAAAATTAAATTTAATTGGAATTGGTAAGAATTTAAGAAAGGAAAAAAAAAACAAATCGTCATATTATTCTTGAAATTATCAAAAATTAAAGTATTCAAACTCACCTACTACTTCCAATTTTTTGTTTTTTTTAAAAAAAAAACAATATTAAATGTGTTAATTTAATCTATTTCTCTACTAAAAGAAGAAATGAGAGGAGGGTATTTGACATCTTATCCATCCCATTACATTAATTTCCACTTAGTGGGAAACATAATTAATTTTTTGAAGAAACAAAAAATATTTAATGAGAAATTAAGTAACATAAATTAATAATTAAGTGATTATATATATATATATATATAAAAAAACCCCGCCAATAAATAATGGCTTCTTTTATTCATATGAAAATTTACATTTTTTATTTTTTTTTATTTTTAATAATAAGCAAGTGCAATCTTAAATTATATTTTTATAAAATTATGAATTACATTTATGTCAATTGTTGCTGTTATTTTTTTTTTTTTAGTTTTAATATTGTGATCTTTTCTTACATTATTATTCTTTGTTTTTTTTTTTTAAATAAAAAAGAATAAATGGAAAATGTTATTGAATAGGATAAGGGTATTAAATAGTTTTTGTTGTCTTGTTAGGTCTTGTTTGGTTGTCGTTTAAATGACCCTATTATTGACTTTTGGCAACTCCCCTACCACCAAAATGCCATTTTCAACATCTCACTTTTTGTTCTCAATAGATTTATGCTTTACAATCTATTATTAATTTTTGTTTAGACATAATTTTCTCAACATATATATATATATATTATAAATATCTAGTTCAAATGTAAAAATGAGCTTAATAAATGGTGAAGAAGGAAGATTATAGTTTATATTGCAAAGTCATATAAAATGCCAAACGAGGAAGAAGACATGTTTGTCACCAACCCAGAATTTTCACGGTACAACTAACGGCGAAATTTAAGTTCATTTTAATTTCTTGTCTTTTTCATATATTTTAAAAGTAGTCAAAATGCATCTTAAAATAAATTCTAAAAATTAAATCTGCCCCAATTTCACGATTCATTCAAATTTAATACGTCAATAATCGAGTCACATTTGAGTTTGAATTTAATGATATACGCTCAAACCTAATTGTCATTCTTACGAGAAATTTAGTATGAATTGATATTTGTAAAAATTAGCACTTACATATTTTTTTTTGTATAAAAATATAATATTTTATAATTAAAATATTATATTATTATTAGTTTCTCTATATCATTGTTATAAGTAGTAACATTTTTTTTTAATTACAATTAATCATGAATTAATTACAACGCTTGAAATAAATATTTAATAATATAATGTTTAAAATTAATCTGATTGTGCATTTTTCTAGTCTGCTGGTTGATAATATATGTTTAAAATTCACAGTCAATTGCTTGGGCTTCAAATTACTATACTTTTCAATGCTTCATTTCTAAATTCCATCTGACTTTTTTTATGTGTTGGAAAATATAAAAATTAGAACTTTCAAATAAATTTGTGTGAAACTCATTTTGCCCCAAACACACTCTATTGTAACGTAGCAAGCTGGCATGAACTTCAACAATTCTACACATAATTTTTCAAAATTTCTATTTAATAATTCAATATAATTAATTATCGCGAATCATTTTTTATTTCTTTTATAAGAAATTGGGTTACATATTTTCTTGTTGATACATTATAATATTATTAATTATGTTTTAAAATATTTATATATAATTAAATGTTGCACCTTTCAAATAACTTTTGCTTAAAAACTTTTGCATACATAAGTAAGCACAATATATATATATATATATATATATATATATATATCAACTTTTTTTCTCTTTCAGTCATTTACTATGCTTTTAGGTCATCTATTTTCCTATTTGGTCATCTACTAACTACTTTCCATTCTATATTCACTTTCACCCAATATTTATTTTTCTTTTTTCTTTTTTCCTTTTCTACTATTTATTGTTTCTTTTTTTTTTTTTTCTAGTTCTTGAAGTCAATGATAATACTCCATTGTTTATAGTAATTTAATCTATTAGTGAAAATATTGTAAGTTAAATAATGAATAATTACGATTACTACTTTTTATTTTTCTGTACAATTATTTAATTGTTGATTTTTTTTTTAAAAAAAAAATTATTAATGCATACATATAGTTAAAGTGTCACGTATTTTTGAAACACAATAATTGATGGTCATGTCTTTAGCTTTGTAGCTTTAAAACGAAGATCTCAAGGTCAATCCAATAAGTATAGATACATTCACATCGACTCTGATGAAAGAATAATTGTGAAATAAGAGTTGAACTCAAGTCCTCAATTATCATAAAAGCATAAACAACAATCTCTTATCTACATCATTTATTATTTTACTTGTCTTTATAAATAGTGTTTGTTTGGGTCAAATCGTACTTTTCGTATGTGTTCAAAAAGTTAGTTTTGTCATTATTAATATGCATATATATATTTTTTTATTATTGAAATACATAAAATTTATTAATAATTGTTAATTTTTTTAAAAAATATTAATGCTAGACATATAGTCAAAGTATTTTCGAGACACAACACTTGATGATTTTGCGTTTAATGTAAAAATTCGGAACCTTAAAAGAAATAAATTTATAATTTAAATACGGAAGCGAATAATATGTTAAGATGTAAACATTCCTTACTATAGAGGCCCAGAACTTAAACGAAAATAAATTCATAAATTAAATACAAAAGCGATTAATAAATATAAGGTTTACATTTCTTATTGTAGAGGCCCGGAACTTAAAGAGAAATAAATTTATAAATTAAATATGGAAACGATTAATAAAGATAGGGTTTACATTCCTTATACAATAATTTTGAATATGCAATAGGGTTACGAGAATGTCCATTTTAAAAGATAAACAGAAATTAAAGAAATAAAATAAAAAGTGAATAACTAAATATTTTAGAATAACCTTCACTAGCACTTGAAGGGAGTCAGG